AAGACACAGGTAAATATCTTTCTGGTATTCTCTGCTTTCAGCCAAGATCCATCAGACATCAGCAATGATATCCCTCATTCCAAGTCCTCTTCTGAATCCAGCTTGAATTTCCAGCAGTTACCTGTCGATCTATTACTGCAACCGTGTATATACTATGTACACTATAGAACACCATAGATATTATATTCTATCTATCTCTACACACTATAATGACTTCTACAAAATTCAGTGCATAGGTATTAAAATTCCAGGCAGAAAAACTGAAAGGAAAGAAATTCCTAGCCTTCCCTTCATATTTTTTTCAAAAATATGTCACCTATAAAACATCATTTTTAATCACTTAATCTCCTCTGGGATTCCATTTAGTCTATTGTTACAGAAGACAGTGCAGCTACAGGCATCCACTGAAAATAAATTACTAATTTAGACTTCATACTTATCGTCCTTTCTTTAACTTACAGGCCTAATAACCACAGAAACCTATTACATACCCCTACCGTACCCATTGCCATCGAGTTGATTCTGACTCATAGTGACCCTATAGCGACCCTATAGGACAGAGTAGAACAACCACACCATAGAGTTTCCAAGGAGCAAGTGGTGGCTTCGAACTGCTGACCTTTTGGTTAGCAGGCAAGCTCTTAACCACTGTGCCACCAGGGCTCCAGAAACCTATTCAAACCAAATCCTTTGCCATCAAGTTGATTCCAACGCATAGTGACCCTATAGGACAAAGCAGAATGGCCCCATAGGGTTTCCAAGGAGCGGCTGGTAGATTCGTACTGCTGACCTTTTGGTTAGCAGCTGAACACTTAACCACTGCATCACCAGGGCTCCAGAAACCTATTAGAGGTATTTAAATATGTTAGTTTTTTTTTTTTTAATTCAGAAAACAAAACAGCACAAACTTCCTGATGCTCCTATCATTGGTTTCAAAGAGAATCCAGACATTTAGTAAGAAAGGGTTATTAAATTTAAGTCATTCCTACCTGCATTTGAAGAAGTGTGACATACTCTATACCATAAATGAATTTAAGGCAAAACCACGGAAGTGCTCTAAATGGAATTACCACTTCAAAGATTAATAAAATTTTAACTCCTCTATAATGCATGTCACTATGAGTCAGAATCTACTTGATGGCAATGGGTTCCGGTTTATAATGCATGTCAAGTATTATGTTTAAACTCTTATTAATTCCTGAAAAAAACACAAACTTTCTCTTTAATCAGCTTCTGGGTATACAAAGTACATTCCAAGGCAGATATTAATCATGATTTTTAAAGCTTGCTTCATATTAGCTGTGAGGGGTGGAGTACAGAATCTTGTGTGATCATATGTTCATGTTTCAGTTAGTGAAAACTTTATCATGAACTAAAGCTAAATTAGCCAAAAAAAAAAGGCAGGTGTCATACTTCCTTAAACATGGTCTACAATTAGGTAGTAACAGTTTTCATGTTTTCTGATTACTCATCACACCATTTGCCACATGGGGTTTAATTTCCTAGTTTTTTGTTTGTTTTTTAAACTTCCCACAGACTTAAAATTTCATGTGGTGAGGAACAGGTTTACAACCTTTACAAATTCAAGAACTAAGATATCCTACTGACCTAGAAAAGCAAAGCTCAGAGTAATACACAGTATGATCTTTCTGTGTTTAAAAAAAGCATACATCATGGTTCCTAAATTTCCAAAGCATGAACCTGAGAGTCATTATGCATAAATACTTTAGTTAATAATGGATAATAATTTTTGGTTAGTAATGGTTAGCATAAGGAACCCTAGTGGTGCAATGGTCAAGCACTCATCCACTAACCACCAGGTCAGCAGTTTGAACCCACCAGGCGCTCTGCAAGAGAAAAGACCTGGCGATTTGCTCCCATAAAGATTACAGCCTAGAAAACCCTATGGGACAGTTCTATTCTTTCCTATTAAAACAACAACAACAAAAAAAAACTCATTGCCATCGAGTCGATTCCGATTCGTAGCAACTCTGTCCTATAGGGTCACTGTAAGTCTGTAAGTCAGAATCTACTTGATAGCACCCAACAACAATGGTTATCACAGAGTGGCAGGGTAAGAGAGGATTATGGCAAGGGAAACTTCTGCTTTTCTATTTTCCCTTTGTAAATATTAGAAACTTTTATTTTTTGTTTGTCACTTTCTGTAACTTAAAGTTTTTAAACATTACAGAAAGTTTTAAGAAGCACCCTGAGAACCTCCACCACTACTGCATTCAGAGAGCATCTCCAGTAGAGGGCATGGTAGATTCAACAGAGAAAACATATGATTAATCAGCCACTTTTAACCTGTGGGTTCGCTGTGCAATTTTTACAGCCTGTTGCATTGTTTCTTCTTCCACCACGAAATGGAAAATATGTGTCATATTTAAGCAACCCCATTTACCTAAAAGCCAATTGTAACAAAAAACCCAAAGGGAAGTCAATCAATGCTGTAGCTTCCCCTTTAAATACAACAGTAAATGCCTGCCTGTCTTTATAAAAATCATTAACATTAACACAGCAACTATTTTCACAAAAAAGGCTTCTCAGTCTGTAGTAGGTATTGCATTAACCCTTAAAATTACCCATAGATTCAAAACGATAAATTGTATTTACTTTCAGATTTAGCAATCAACCACTTAATTTTCAGAAAAAAATTTTCTTCCATTTAACATAAACTGTCAATCTGAAAAGGGTTTATGGAAAAGGCAAATAATTACACACAGTTTTAAAAAAACCTCTGCTAGTCTATATTTTAAACAACTGTTTGCACACATGGATTTCGAGTATATTCACTTTTGTGGATATATTGAGATGATTTAATTTCTCTGGCCTCAAAATCTCTGAAAAGTTTAAATGTTAATTATTTTACTTATTTTTCTGTTATATCCAGAGAGCATTTATTAAATATTTATTATGAGCTGGATACTTTATAAATCTCTGAGGCATTATATTGATATTTTAATAGTACTTATGCATATTTAGCCTAATTAACTCTGAGTTAATCGTTCTAAGATTTTTTTCACCTTGAAAAACTATACTTCTAGACATTTCCTTTTCTACATATATACAAATTAATAATAAGCTTTTCATAGTGCTTTAGAATTCACAAAGGAATTTCACACAAGATTTGCACAATGCCCTATGAGCTTGGCAAGAAAGACATTATTCTCATTATAGGTGAGAAACCGGGGCTCAAGGAAGTGTAAGCGGAGACTCTAATTAGGTCTCCTGACATCAAGTCCAGCTCTCTCTCCCTGCTGCCTCTGTGTCAGAACTCCTGAGTTTTCCACTATCTATGAGTGAATGATATGGGATTTCTGCCATGCAAGGTTCTAAATGAAAAATGAGAAAAAGCAAGTGTCATGCATATTATACATATTTAATAAATAAGTATTGACTCGTCAGAAAGTAAAAAAAAGATACCGGAAATACCATACAGTTCTTGTAGAGATGAAGAACATATGCTTGCGAAAAATTACATTCTTAGATTTCACAAACATGAAGTATTTTTTTAACTTAAATCTAAATTACTTCTCTTTCCATAATAAAGTACATGACTGTTCTCTTTAGTAATAATTGCACATTTTCCCCTTCAAGTCAAAGTTGGAGCTCCAACTGCTGGCAGCTCAACATAAAAATATGGTAACTAGTCCCAATTTTCTTTTAACAAGCCTGAGTCAGAATCGACTTGACAGCAATGAAATTGGTTTTTCTGGGTTTTTAATGGTTAATGCAAAATAGGGAGACTATTTACAACCCAGTCAATATCTTGCTGTAAACCTTACCGTCTAATTAGATGTTTGATGGGAAAACTATTTGAATATTCTATTGTCCAGTTCTGGCAATGCTGTTCTCTGTAGCTAACCTGTTTGTCCTTACCCATCAAGTCACTTTAAAGCCTGCAGGAGATGACAGATGATTTCTGAAGAATTAACACTAATTTAAGCAAACTTAACTTTTCCCACTTCTTACCAGTTTTCTGGAAAATTCTAAGCCAACCACGAATGGATCACTAAGAAATTGTGCATTCCTGCTTTCTTAAACTAGAATGATTCCAGTACATTCCAAGTGTTGATGTTTCCCTCCTCTCTCTCTCTCTCTCTCACACACACACAAACACACACACACACACACACACACACACACTAAGGATATCTGTGATTTCTATTCTGGATGGAGAGGCGGCCAAGGACTCCTGAGGACTGACCCTACAAACCAAGTCACGAGTCTGGGGGTGAAGATCAGAATGCAAACCCAATTAAAACACTGTCATCTGAAAAGAGTCACGTTTTCCTGTTCCCTACCCGACTAACGTTCGTTCCCAAAAGTATTCCAAGATGCCCAGACCCCACCCGGCACAACTGCCCAAGGGCTTCACCGTTTCCTCCCCCAGATTAAGCAGGGTTGCAAGAAAGGACCGATAGAGGGTCTCCCTGTGGCACCGGTTTACTTTACAGACCAACGGTCTCGCGCGAGTCGCTACAGCAGGATCAGGACTGTGAGCAAGAAATGAGGCGCGGGGAGGGGGTGGGCAACCCGTATTAACTGGAAATACAGCGACTGCATTCGGGTTTGCAGCAAATCACCTTTCTCTGACCACGAATCATCTCCCCGCCAGAGTGACTGCGGGAAGCACAAGCGCCGCGGCCCCGCCTGCGGCCAATTCGGATTCCTGCCCTCGCCGGAGGCCGGACAGCCCCAGCACAGACCTCTATCCCGCCGGCCGCACGCCTAGGCAAAGGTCGCCGGCGACGGCTCATAGGAAAAAGTCCCTGTGTGCTCCCACAGCAGCCTCGCGTCGTGGCCTGAGTGCGCACGAAGCCGGGACGGCCGACGTCAGCGGCGCCCTTGCTTGCCAGACCCTTCGTCGGCAGCTGTGACTGCCACAGGCCTGCGCTCGCCCCGCTCCCGTGCCCCATAGCCGGCCAATCCTCGCCCTCCGGGGGCGGGACCGGCCCTGGGAGGCCCCGCCCCCCGCGTCTTCACCTCTTATAAAGGCTGGCGCGCTTGCCCGCCCGCAAACAACGGCGGCAGGTCCGGGAAGGGGATGAGGCAGGGTACTATGTTCCTGGCTGTCCAGCACGAGTACTGTGGACCAATGGACAAGAGCGCAGGCAGTGGCCCCAAGAGCGAAGAGAAGCGGGAGAAGATGAAGCGGACCCTGTGAGTACGATGTTCTCCAGACTCCACCCTCGTCCCTTGCGGAACTAGTTCTCCAGGTCTGCTGCAAACGCGGTAGATTCGGTCTCGGGGTCTCGGCTTTGACAATAGATAACTAGATAGTTTGCGACTCCGCAGGGGGAAAAAAAATGTGGAAAAGCTTAATTTGCTAAATTAAGATTCAATGTGTGTTTTGGTTTTTTTTTTTTTTTTTTTTTTGCGGGGGACAAGGGTATTTATTTTGTTCGTGAAGGACGATCGGGTAGAGTCTACGAACTGAGGAAAATTCTAGATATGGTGGCTGGGAACAGTGGTAGATGCGCTAAGAAATTGCTAGTTGACTTTTTGTTCCCATGCATTTATAATGACATCAGAAAATCCTGCGGCTGAAGCACGTCCCCTGCATTCGTGCGTTGCATTATGAGTTCTCATCAGCTTACAGAGCTGCTGGGGTGAAAATATGTTTGCTGGTTTCTGAATATAAATCCAGTCTTGTTCATTCTTAGTTGTAGAGTAGATCTCACCCGCTCAGGCTGTGGAACAGACTATTGTTCTGCAGCATTTGCTTAAAATGAGCGTTGTAGTTGGAGGTGGAGGGGCGTGGAGATCAGTCACACGCATCTCATTGTGTTCAGGCTCTAGCGTGGTCCAGAGCCTCCTGCTGTAATGGTAAAAGAGGGAAATGAACATCAGCCAGCTAGAGGCGGTTTCCTCAAGTGTGAAATGTCCCATAGTTGTAATTTGCCTTGTAGGGAAACCTGTTGCCTTTTGAACAACACAAATTTAATTCATTTAAATACGTTAGTGATTTAGATAGTCTTGCTCATAGTTATAAAGCTGGTAGTTATGTTCACATAAATGGATGAAGATAATTGTGTATTCATTACATTACATTAAAAGGGGAAGATTTGTCTCACTTGGAGAGTTCCTGTTTGATTTTATTTGGTTTGTCTGTAGCTCCTGGGAGACTTTATTTGGCAAAAAAAATGTATTCAGCTGCAGTAGCTTCATTTTCAAGCCTTGCCATTTAGTAAAATAGCCTTTTTTTTTTTTTTTTTTTTTTAAGGTTAAAAGATTGGAAGGCCCGTTTGAGCTACTTCTTACAGAATTCCTCCACTCCTGGGAAGCCCAAAACCAGCAAGAAAAGCAAACAGCAAACTTTTATCAAGTAAGTTGAAAATCCTGCACTTGCAAATATGAGTCGCTAGCTGCTGGACTGAAAAGGGGAATTCTGATGCCTCCATGCTAATGTGCAGAACTTCTTTTGCAGGCCATCTCCTGAGGAAGCCCAGCTCTGGTCAGAAGCATTTGATGAGCTGCTAGCCAGTAAATGTAAGTTACGCTATTGAGTTTAATCCATTTCAGGTGGTTCAAGAGTTTACTAAGGTTATAACCACTGAACAGAAGAGTGGCTGGCCTGAGGGGAATTAGACTTAAATTACAGTCACTACAGTATAAGATCTTTATTTTTCTGTCCCTTATTTTCCAATGCTTAACCAGGGAAATGCATATATTATTCACTCCAGGTGGGGAAGAAAAATTAGCCTAAAAAAATTAAAGTGACAGTTACTGTTAGCTAAGATTAAGTCAGCTTTTCCATTGCAATGTTTTCAAAAGGCTTAGTTCCCAGAGAATTTATGGCTCCCCTATAAATATTTATTTTGCATTGACAGCGGAGTTAAGTGTTCATATTTTTTTTAGCAGTGTGCCAATTTAAGCAGCTTGCCTACTGGCATCCTAGCTTTTAAATTTTAAAGAGTGAAATTCTGAGGATTACAGGTTTGAGTGAAATCTAGAAAATTACTATCATCTAGAAATAATTACAATGAGAGGTAAGCACTAGGAAAAAAAAATCACATCTGCATGCCTTTTTTTTTTCTTTTTCCTTCTTTCAGATGGTCTTGCTGCATTCAGGGCTTTTTTAAAATCTGAATTCTGTGAAGAAAATATTGAATTCTGGCTGGCCTGTGAAGACTTCAAAAAAACCAAGTCACCCCAAAAACTGTCCTCAAAAGCAAGGAAAATATATACCGACTTCATAGAAAAGGAGGCTCCAAAAGAGGTAAAAAAAAAAATTCATTTCAGCACATTTTTGAACATCCTTAGCACCAAAGTGAAATAAAAGAGTTGAAGAGACTTCACATTAAAAGGGTGGGGAGGGGGTAGTAAGAGGATCCTCCCACTCACCCCAATGCCGGGGAGTCTTTCAACTGAGTGTGTCCAGTGACTGCTTGGTGAAGCTAATCATGCTTTATAGTTGTTTGTTATTGTTTTCATATATTAAATAGATTTAACCTTTCTACTTATCAATACTCAATAAAATATTATTTTTCTGTTTTATTTCAGATAAACATAGACTTTCAAACCAAAACTCTAATTGCCCAAAATATACAAGAGGCTACAAGTGGTTGCTTTACAACTGCCCAGAAAAGAGTATACAGCTTGATGGAGAACAATGCTTATCCCCGCTTCTTGGAGTCAGAATTCTACCAGGACTTGTGCAGAAAGCCACAGATCACTACAGAACCCCATGCTACATGAGATGGGAAAAGGAGCTCACAAAAGGAGAACATTGCGTTTTTCCCCCCGTAAGGAGAAAAGGCTGTGACCTGCCTAAAAACCAAAAGACTGACCTTGAACTCAGCCTGGGTGTTCAGGAACCATCACTCATAACTATTAATTCAAAGTTGGATAGTGACTCAGAAAGCCAGTAACAGTCTAGGAGAAGCTTGTATCAGGATGGCTTCCATCACTGCGTATAGGACACAGGAAGGGAATCCTGGTCTGAACATGGTGTCTCTCATCCTGGAGAAGCAGGATATGAGATTAAAGATACAATGTAATGCTGTTGGTCCAGAAGCATTTAAAATCAATAGATCTGGGATTATGTGGCCTTAGTGAGCTGGCTGTACGTCTTTCCCTAAATCAGTCCGTGTTACCACACAGTGGTTTTAGTTTTAGTTTTTTAGTACTGTGTAACATTAAAATGTTTACTGTATGAAAGGGTGTTAAAGTTCTTATGGCTACAGATCATCAGTACTGTTGTCTCATGTAACACTGAAATGGTCTGTGTTTGAATTGTTAAGTGGTGTGTGAAATGGAATGAGTGCAGTTGTGTAGAAAACTACAGTGTCCGTTATGAATGCTAAAAACTGTCTTGAAGGCAGCTAAATGTTGACGTGGTCTTTGAATAATACTTTTTAATAAATTTATTTTGATAAATAATGTCATTGAACACTTGAGTTCAGGCGTGGTTATTTTTGTTTGCTTTATTGGAAATATGGCATATATAAGGAAAACATGCTTTCTGGTAAATTCACAGGTAATGTACGTACCAAATGAGAATTGACAGTCCTCAGAATTGAGAAATGGTAGTTCCGAGAAGACATACTCCTATCACATTTTGAAACCTATTAAGCATTGTGTAGATCAAAGGAAATTAATCATGTCCTTAAAACCACTGTGGAATCAAACTTTGTAATGTAATCCCACAAAAAATCAAGCTTGTCATTAATGAAAGCAAAAGAGCATTGACCTAAAGCCCTTTCACGTCTATCAAGGATCAGCTAAATCTGAGAAAACAGACAAGGACCAAATCATTCACATAACTAAGTTTCTCAATGAAGAAAAGAGCCAAATAACAGGGAATATAGGTTCTATCTTTTTTCTTCCCTTGGTTCTGAGTTCCACACAGGGTATTGGCATGAGCTTTCAAGATAACATACCTGAAATTGTTCACTTCCATAAAGATCAATACAGAGTCGGAGTTTTCCTTATTGTCTTCCCTTCATTTGGCCAAGAGAAAATCTGATTATGTTACTTCAGCTAGTAGTGAAGGTAGAAGTGCACTTTTGTTTCTTAGACTTAATGTTCTCTTTTTTCTAACAGAGAGGGAGGTCTTGAATCTGTTCTTGTCTTCAATTGGCTATTTTAAAAAGGAATACCCTTTTATTCTCCAGCAAGCTCTTTTTTCAATCTCTATAGTTTTGGAGTCCCTGGGTGATGCAAAGAGTATATGTGCTCAGCCAGTGTATATTCATGGCCACTAACCAAAATGTTGGAGGTTTGAGTCCACCCAGAGTGCCTGGGAAGAAAGGCCTGGCAATCTACTTCAGAAAAATCAGCCCTTGAAAATCCTATGGAGCACAGTTCTCCTTTGACACACATGGGGTCCCAATGAGTTGAAATAAACTCCATGGCAACTGGTTACTCGGATTACAGTTTTAATAAAAAAGGAGAGGAAATCCTCAGACAATCTGAGCCCAAGTGATGGCTTTACTTTTACAGGTTTGTGACGTTGGGGGTCCCCATCACATTCCCTGGCCCTTCTCATTACACTTTCCTCCTATCTCATCAGTTCCTGTGAGATTCTCATAGAAGTAAGAGGCTTTAGAAATTGTAAAGCACTTTTTAAAAAGTGCACTTATTTCCATTTTGACAACATAAAAAAATTGATCTCCAATAGTTTAAACACTGTTTCCATTGTGATTGCACCAATTTTCACCTTAAAATCAACCAGAATTTCTGTAACCAACAGGCATAAGATCTATGAGAGACTTTGCCTTGTCCACTCATGTATCACCAGCAGCCAGAATAATACATAATAGATGCTCTATAAATAATGGTTGAATAAACAAATTCTGAAGAGTCATTCAAACAATGTTTCCTTGGAGAACAGATACATCAGGTCTGCATAATCCTTAATTGGAAAGGCTCTGGCTAACCAAGGAACCCAATAACCAAAAATCAAAACCCATTGCCATCAAGTCGATTCTGACTCATAGCGACCCTATAGGACAGAGTGGAACTGTCCCACAGGGTTTCCAAGGAGTGGCTGGTGGATTCAAACTGCCAACCTTTTGGTTAACAGGCATAGCTCTTAACCAAGGAGCCCAATAGTCATGACACATAGCCATTTTATCACCAAGTCCTGTTTATTTTACCTCAAATATCTGTCCAGTCTGTTCACTGCTCTCAATCACCACTCTGATCAAAGATACCATCATCTAATGCCGCGACAATAGCAATAATCTATTAACTCATCTCGCATTCTCTCTGCCTCCCCTCTAGTGAGCACCCTACTTTTTTACTCCAGGGATCTTTCAAGATACAAATCATAATTTGTTTCCTCTTGCTTATAAACCCTTGATAGTTTTCCCAAACAATTAGGGTAAATGCAATATCCCCACTATGGCCTACCACTTGTGTGGTTTGACCGCTCTTCCTCTCCAGATTTGTCTCCACCATGTTGCCCCCAGATCTCTCTGTTAGCCACACTGGCCTATTTTCATTCTTTTGTAGGTGTCATGCCCTCTGACCCCATAGGGCTTTTGTACATAATAGTCTTCTCTGCATGGAATGCAGTTTTAGCTCTTACTCACCATTCATATATCTGTAATTGTCACTTCCTCAGGGAAGCCTTCCCTGACCTCCTTACTTGGTCAGATCCCCTTTTAGATGTTCTCATAGTATCATGGATCCTTAATTTATAGCACTTACAAGTTCGTGTAAATTTGTATAACTATTTGATAACTCTATGTATTCCCCACTAGATTGTGGATGTATAATTGAGAACCCTGTGTCTTTTTCTGCTCACCACTAAATCCCAACACCTAGCAGAGTGCCTGGCATGAAACGAAAAAAAAAAAACAAAACCATTGCCGTCAAGTCAATTCCAACCAATAGGAACCCTATAGGACACAGTAGAACTACCCCATAGGGTTTCCAAGGAGCAGCTGGTTGATTCAAACTGCCAATCTTTTCATTAGCAGCCGAGCTCTTAACTACTGCGCCACCAGGGATAAGACGAGAGCTGCATAAATATTTGCTAAATGAGTATTGAAAGGTTTTGTGAACAAATCTTGGTGAAACGAGTACCATCAAGCAATTATTGTGAGGGGGACTTCCAGCAACATGGCGCTCTAGGCAGAAGCACCATGCCATCCCTCCACAGCAAAGATCTGAAAAACTAAGCTAAACAGAGAAAACAGCAATCCTGAAATCCTAAACATCAAATGAAGAGATAAAGAACTCAGCCAAGCACCAAATGGAATAAGAAACTGACAGAGAACAGAGAGCGAGGAGACATACATGGAGAGGTCCTCTATGAGCTAATGCAGCATGGTTCTGCCATCTTGGACTCTTATCAGAGACCAGCAAATAGGGGGTATGAGAAAGCAGCTTCACAGAGCTTCCAGCAGGAGACAGAACAACCAGTAAACAGTGGTATACACTTTCCCACCCCCCACCCTTCTTCACCACCACTCGAACTCCGCTGCTTCCCGTGGCCACAGTCTCTTGGCAGGGAAGCACCGGCTGCTTGGATTCCACCTGCCCGCACTGGCCAACTCCCTGAGTGCCATTTGTTGGCTGCTGGTGTTGCTTTTCTCTGCTTCTTTTGATTTCTTCCTTACCTCTCACCACCTCCCCCTTCTTTGCTCAAATACCTGACTCTGTGCACCATCTTTGCTTCTTCCTGAGGGGCTGTGGAGCTCCGTTCAAGTGTGGAGCTGCTTCCCGGTCTGTGCTGCCATGCTGGTGGGATCCCAGGGCTTTTGTTTGTTTGTTTGTTTTCAATTGTTTGTTTGTTTTCTTTTTCCTTTCTCAAGTTGGGAGCCCGTTCTGGCCGGGTGGTGCTGTGCGGCTTGGGACCTACGCCCTCAGCTTGCACAGATGCTCAGAGGGCTCCCTGAGGGCATTTCTTTTTTTGTGGGTTTTTTTTTTTTTCCTGCTTTTTGGGGGGTTTTTCTTGTTCTTTTTTTTTTTAATTTGTTTTGTTTTCTTTTCCTTCTTTTTCCCTTTTTGTCTTTCTTCATTACTCAGTTTCTCATCTCTCTATACCTTCCTTCTCTTCCCCTGTCCCCTGGATACCTGGCACTGAATACCTCTACACCTCCTAGCCAGACTGTACTGCAACACCTGGGAACAACTTCCCCAGACCTTGTAGCTGCACC